AGTCATGCCTGACTAATCTAATTGCCTTCTATGACGAGCTAACTGGTTCTGTGGATGAGGGGAAAGCGGTGGACGTGTTGTTCCTTGACTTTAGCAAAGCTTTCGACACTTTCTCCCACAGAATTCTTGCCAGCAAGTTAAAGAAGTATGGGCTGGATGAATGGACTATAGGGTGGATAGAAAGCTGGCTAGATTGTCAAACTCAACGGGTAGTGATCAATGGCTACATGTCTAGTGGACAGCCAGTATCAAGCGGAGTGCCCCAAGGGTCGGTCCTGGGGCCAGTTTTGTTCAATATCTTCATTAATGATCTGGAGGATGGCGTGGATTGCACCCTCAGCTAGTTTGCAGATGACACTAAACTGGGAGGAGAGGTAGAGACGCTGGAGGGTAGGGATAGGATACAGAGAGACCTAGACAAATTAGAGGATTGGGCCAAAAGAAATCTGATGAGATTAATCAGGGACAAGTGCAGAGTCCTGCACTTAGGACGGAAGAATCCCATGCACCGCTACAGACTAGTGACCGAATGGCTCGGCAGCAATTCTGCAGAAAAGGACCTCGGGGTTACAGTGGATGAGAAGCTGGATATGAATCAACAGTGTGCCCTTGTTGCCAAGAAGGACAATGGCATTTTGGGATGTCTAAGTAAGGGGCATTGCCAGCAGATGGAGAGCCATAATCGTTCCCCTCTATTTGACATTGGTGAGGCCTCATCTGGAGTACTGTGTCCAGTTTGGGACCCCACACTACAAGAAGGATGTGGAAAAATTGGAAAGAGTCCAGCGGAGGGCAACAAAAATGGTTAGGGGTCTGGAACACGAGTTATGAGGAGAGGCTGAGGGAACTGGGATTGTTTAGTCTATGGAAGAGAAGAATGAGGGGGGATTTGATAGCTGCTTTCAACTACCTGAAAGGGGGCTCCAAAGAGGATGGATCTAGACTGTTCTCAGTGGGGGCAGATGACAGAATGAGAAGTAATGGTCTCAAGTTGCAGTGGGGGAGGTTTAGGTTGGATATTAGGAAAAACTTTTTCACTAGGAGGGTGGTGAAACACTAGAATGCGTTACCTAGGGGGGTGTTGGAATCTCCTTCCTTAGAAGTTTTTAAGGTCAGGCTTGACAAAGCCCTGGCTGGGATGATTTAGTTGGGGATTGGTCCTGCTTTGACCAGGGGGTTGAACTAGATGACCTCCTGAGGTCCCTTCCAACCCTGATATTCTATGATTCAGGGCTTCCCCTGCAGGGAATATTGGACAGGGGGAACATCTGGGAAGGACCAGAATGGGGTGGGGGGATTAAACCACCCCCCCCAACTGCCCTGCCTGTGCTGGAACCATCACCTGGGGGAACCGGGCTCATCCATGGAGGAACCCAGGTCAACCACAGATGCCTTCCTCAAGCACCCATGCCTTGCCGATGGAAACCCCACTTCCACCTTCTCTGTAGCCATTCCAGACTCAACCCACAACCGCCTCTGGCAGATTCCTCATCAGGAAGGTTTAGAGCCAAGACATGGCCAGGATGGGGATGTTGAGTTGACAGATCTTGGCCAACGCTCAGCTCCATCCCCAGTTCCCTTGACCTTAGCCTTCGTTCAGCTCCATCCCCAGTTCACTTTAAATTCAATGCCCCACTGGCTCCCGTGTGCAAGTGGGATGGAAACACAACTGCTTCCATAGATCCAGGAGTTCCAAGGTCAGAAGGGGCCATTTGATCATCCAGTCTGCCCTCGTGTGTATCCCAGGCTGGAGAATCTCCTTGTTACCCCTGGATTGCCTCCTGTAGGTTTGATTGAAGCATCTTCCAGGAGGGCCCTTGGTCTGGATTGGAAGACACCAAGGGTTGGAGACTCCACCACTGACCGGGGGAGTTTGTTCCAATGGTTACTCACCTGCACTGGGGAAAATCTGTGTCTGCTTGCTAATGTTCTCCTTCGCATGTGAGCAAAGGAGGATTTATGGGTCCCTGATGTACCTCATGGGGGCAGGGGCTATATGGGGAATCTCTGGGGTGATGGGGGTTATATGGGGCCCTGAAGCATGTGCAAAGGGAGAGAGGCTACCCAGGGACTGAAGTGTCTGGGAGGGGGACAGGGGATATACAGGGCCCTGGTTTACCTCTGGTGTACATACATTGGCGGGTGGGGGGAGCTGGGGGTTTGTAAGGGGCCTTGGCATGTCTCAGGGAGCCAGGTGAGGTTACACAGATCTCTGGCATGTCTCTGGGTCAGGAGTTATACAGGGCCTGGCCTGGCGGGGCTCCAGCACCAGGGTGATCAAGGGGCAGATGATGATCAGCCATAGATCTGAACCCATGCCTGCTGCCTCCGGCTAAGGATCCCATGAGCCCAAGCAGTAGGCAGCGGCTGGGCAGGGCCCTGATCTTTGCCTGGGAACCAAATACTGCCAACCTCAGGGACTGCGGCCTGCACTCACCCCAGCACAAAGTGACTACTGGCTCAGCCAGCAGCAGGATACTAGGGCAGGTGCTGCCCCAAGCTAGCTGGGCTGGAGCCCCACATGGGTGCTGGAAACAGGGGTGTTGCAGCCTGCCAGAATCCTAGCCTCTTTGTTCGAGCCTGGTGTGCAGCCCCTGGCCCCCAGAGAAACCTGCCCCCCTCCTTCCCCCCCAAGAAACCTGCCCCCCCGGCAGGTTGAAGCCACCGACTCCATGCTGGCTAGGAAGGCTTCAGCTGCTGGCAAACTCCAACCAGCTGCCTATGGCATCTGCTCCCAATTCTCTCGGCTGTCAACCTGTGGAACTCTTTGCCAGAGGATATTGTGAAGGCCAACACAGTAACAGGGTTAAAAAAAAGAACTAGACAAGTTCCTGGAGGATAGGTCCATCAACGGCTATTAGCCAGGATGGGCAGGGATGGCGTCCCTAGCCTGTTTGCCAGAAGCTAGGAATGGGCGACAGGATGGATCACTTGATGATTCCCTGTTCTGTTCATTCCCTCTGGAGCACCTAGTACTGGCCATTGTCGGACGACAGGACACTGGGTTCAGTGAACCTTTAGTCTGACCCAGTCTGGCTGTTCTTATGGCTGCAGCTCAGTCATAAGCTCAAGTCCCCCAAGGCTTCCCCCCCCCCGCAAGTGGAAACACCACCCCTGCCCTTTCTCCAGACAAAGAACAAACAGCAGGGACGCCAGCTTGCAGCAGTGCCTCCACTGGGTCCACAGTGCCTCCACTCTGGCACCAGAGCTGTCCCAACGGGCAGGGCAGGGTGCATGTTCCCTACAGAATTCCTTGATTTTTGGCCAAACAAAAAACCCAAAAGATTCAGAAATGGCACATCATGGTGCCACATAAGACATCTGGTTCAGGTGCATCACACTCCCATTCTCCTCTCTGGGCTGGGCACTTTAGCTGGACTACATCTCCCACGATGCACCAGTCTCCCCTCTGGCTCTGCCACTGGAGTTATCTCCCCTCTTGCGGAGAGGCTGGAGTGCATCATGGGCAATAGACTATTTACTGGAAATACTTCCCCTAGTAGGAAAATGGAGGATGAGCCATTCAAACTACAACTCTCATGATGCACCTCTCTCCTCTCTGGCTCAGCCCCAGTGCATCATGGGACTTGTAGTTCAGCTGCCTCACACCCCACCATAAGCTGGGCTTTGTTGCACTATATTTCCCAAGATGCACCCCTCACTCTGCCACCACAGTGCATCTTGGGAGTTGTAGTCTGACATACTACCAATGTGCAGTATATTCCATTAGAGAAAGTGGGCACGAGCCAGCCAAACTCCATCTCCCACAATGCACTCACCAAGAGGCATGACTGCAGTGCATCATGGAAGATGAAGTCCAGCCCATAGAGAACAGAATGAACTACAGCTCCCATGATGCACCACAGTACCAGCACTTCACCAAACCAGCCCAGATCTCCACAGGTGAGGCAAGCCCACTTCTCCTGCCAGACTCACCTTGGCTGGCCAATTTCAGAGCAGCCCCGAGGGCTGGCCCCTGCCCCTTCTAGCGACATGGGACCCATGGCTCCAAATGTCAGACACCTTGTCCAGCACCCCAGGCTGGCTGGAGCGGGGACCTGAACTTGCCCAGCTCCAGGAGGGTCGGGCCAGAAGGACCTACCTGCTCTGGGGCTTGCTGGCTGCTCTCTATGGGCATCGCAGGAGGACACACACAGAGCAAGCCCCTGGCAATGTGCATGCATGTCCAGCTGCCACATGGGGGGGGGGCAGTTTGGGATCCACCAGTCACCATGAATCGCCTCCAGTTTCCAGCGCAGGCCTGAGTCCCCTGCCCCACAGTGTGGACCCCAGCCACCAGCAGGACACTGTGCCCCACAAGGGACAAGACTCCCCTTGGGGCAAAATAGATCCTCCCTGAGAGCAGGCTCCAAGCTCCAGGGCTTCCCCAGCTCATTGGCAAGCGCAGACAGTTGGTGCCCTGTCTGACATCAGGGTCTCCAAGCCATCAGCTGCCCACAGTTTGGTGGGGGGCGGGGAGGAACTGCCAAAGGCGCCCCTCGCACAGGGAGACAGTTTTACATTTGGCTTCTACTGTCCAATAGCAATGTCTCCAAATTACCCCACGGTCCTGCCCTTTCTCCTCCCAGACTCGTTAGCATTATGGACTGTTACAGGGGGACAAAAGGCACCAACTTCAGGGCCCTGTTGTGCCAGGCGCTGCCCAGACAAACAGCGAGAGACAGTCCATGCCTCAGCTGAGATTGGGGCCCCATTGTGCTGGGCGCTGCCCAGATACAGAGAGAGACAGGCCCTGCCCCAGCTGAGATCAGGGCCCCACTGGGCCAGGCCCTGCCCCAAGGAGCTCACAGTCTAACCAGCCCAGGCAGATAAATGGAGGTCACCCTCTCCCCTTTCCACTGCTCCCACCCCCACCCCATCCCCGGTCTAGCAAACCCACGGTTCCCCCCCAGAGCCAGCAGCTGTGTCGGCAGCAGCAGGCAGGTCTCCAGGCTGCCCGCGGGCGGAGGACGCCAGCAGAGGGACCGGGAGCCGGCGGAGCTGCTGTCACTATTTTATTCACCACCCCCTCCAAAGCAGAGGCCCCGGGTCCAGCGGCGAGCACAGGGGCCGTGCCGGGAGGGCGCGACGGGGCAGCCCCTCCGGCCTCTCCAGGGGAAGCCGCGCACCGTCTTTGGTACAATAAATTAAAGACAAACAGTACAGCACGAGCCACGGAGAGGGGGCAGCCGGCAGACACGGCGCCACCATGGCCACGCTGGGGCCAAACGGCCAGCCCAGCTCACTGCCACGCCAGTGCCGGGTTGTCAGACCACGGGGCTCATCCCCAGGGGTGTTCCCACACACGCGGGGGGTGGGGGAGGGGAGGGCAGGGCAAGAAGAGGAGGAGGCTCACACCATCCTGGAGGGGGAGGAGGGTGGGGCAGGGCAAGAGGGCCACGGGGCTCTCCCAGGACATGGGGGGAAGGGGGATCAGGGCACTCCTTCTCCACAGTGGGAGGGGCCGGTGTCTATAAATATTGGCTAGGGCCCTGCTGCCCAGGGCAGGGGGCAGTTTTAGCAGCAATTCCAGTTGGACAGTGGGGCGGGCAGCCCGGCCATCAGTCCGTGAAGTGCAGAGGGTCCCTCTGTCCAGCCGGCGGCCCCCCCCGGCGGCCCCACCCGGCCCAGGGAGCCAGTGTTAACGAGGAACCATTTACAGTAGGAACCACACGGACACAGGGTAGGGACAGTGCCAGGGGGCGCTGGCTCTGCTGGCTAAGCAGTGGGGCAGCAGGGGTGGCACTGGCATGGGGGGGTAGTGGGCGTGGGGCTAGCTCTATGGGAGAGCAAAGGCCGCGGTGGCTCGGAGGTGGGCGGGGCGAGGAACGTGGGCAGCGCTGGCTCCGGGGCAGGACAGGGTGCCATGAGTGTTGCCACCCCCTGGGGGTTGTGGCGGGCAGAGCCAGCTCCCAGAGGAGGCGCGGCACTGGCTCCGAGGCAGGGGGGCCGCAGGCAGCGCCGGCTCCCGGGATGGAGGGGGGGTTGGCGGGCAGCGCCAGCTTTCAGGGCTGTGAAGATCCGTGGGCACTGTGCCCGCCCCCCGCCGGGCGGCGCATCCTAAGAGCGTTATGGCTTGAGGAGTCATCAAGAGCTGGCTGCCGTGCTCTGCGGGACGCACACGCCCAGCATGGGCGCCGAGTCCTCGGGCTCCGCCCGGCTGCGCAGGTGGGGGGGGTAGGCCAGCGGCAGCCCCCCCTCGCCCGCCCGCCCCCCCACCGCCGCTCTAGTCCGGAACGCCGACGAGCCAAAAGGGGCGCAGTCCAGGTGCCGGGGGCCCGGGCCCAGCTCCATGCACTCGGGGCCGTGGGGCGAGACAGGCGGGCGATGGTAGTGGGTGCGCCCGGCCGGCTGGAAGAGCGGGTGCGGGCCCGCCCCATGGAAGTGCGGTGCCGCCGGCTGGCTGGGCGTGGGCTTGTGAGGTAAGATCGGCGGGTAGCCATCGCTGGGCGGCGCCGGGACATCCCCCCCAGCCCAGAGGCGCGGCTGCTGCTGCTGGGGAGGAGCCTGTGGAAAGAGAGACAGATGCTAGCGGTGAGGGGAGCAGGGCTGGGAACGGGCTAAAGGGGTTGGGAGAGGAAAAGCATGGGGTGTCAGCAATGTTGGGGGCTCTGCAACTCATGGTCAGTGTGGGTAGCGGGGAGCAAGGGGACCATACGTGGGGGCTCTGCATCTTGAAGTTGGTGTGGGAGGCGGGCATACCTGGGGGCTCTGCATCTCGCAGTCAGTGGGGAGGGGGGTCAGCGCCCAAGGGAGCCGTACCTGGGGGCTCCACATCTCGCAGTCGGTGTGGGCTGCGCCGGGGGGGGCATACCTGGGGGCTTTGCATCTCGCAGTCAGTGTGGGCGGCAGGGGAGGGCGTACCTGGGGGCTCTGCATCTCGCAGTCGGGGTGGGCGGCGGGGGGGGGGGCGGGCGTACCTGGGGGCTCTGCATCTCGTATTCGGTGTGGGCGGCGGGGGGGGTACCTGGGGGCTCTGCATCTCGTAGTCGGTGTGGGCGGCGGGGGGGCGGGCGTACCTGGGGGCTCTGCATCTCGCAGTCGGTGTGGGCGGCGGGGGGGGCGGGCGTACCTGCGGGCTCTGCATCTCGCAGTCGGTGTGGGCGGCGGGGGGGCGGGCGTACCTGCGGGCTCTGCATCTCGCAGTCGGTGTGGGCGGCGGGGGCGGGCGTACCTGCGGGCTCTGCATCTCGCAGTCGGTGTGGGCGGCGGGGGCGGGCGTACCTGCGGGCTCTGCATCTCGCAGTCGGTGTGGGCGGGGGGGGCGGGCGTACCTGCGGGCTCTGCATCTCGCAGTCGGTGTGGGCGGCGGGGGGGGCGGGCGTACCTGCGGGCTCTGCATCTCGCAGTCGGTGTGGGCGGCGGGGGGGGGCGGGCGTACCTGCGGGCTCTGCATCTCGCAGTCGGTGTGGGCGGCGGGGGGGGCGGGCGTACCTGCGGGCTCTGCATCTCGCAGTCGGTGTGGGCGGCGGGGGGGGGGGCGGGCGTACCTGCGGGCTCTGCATCTCGCAGTCGGTGTGGGGGGGGGCGGGCGTACCTGCGGGCTCTGCATCTCGCAGTCGGTGTGGGCGGGGGGGGGGCGGGCGTACCTGCGGGCTCTGCATCTCGCAGTCGGTGTGGGCGGCGGGGGGGGGGGGGCGTACCTGCGGGCTCTGCATCTCGCAGTCGGTGTGGGCGGCGGGGGGGCGGGCGTACCTGCGGGCTCTGCATCTCGCAGTCGGTGTGGGGGGGCGGGGTACCTGCGGGCTCTGCATCTCGCAGTCGGTGTGGGGGGGCGGGCGTACCTGCGGGCTCTGCATCTCGCAGTCGGTGTGGGGGGGGGCGGGCGTACCTGCGGGCTCTGCATCTCGCAGTCGGTGTGGGCGGCGACCGTGCTGGCGTAGTAGCGGTTGCTGTAGCGGTAGTTGCGGTTGTCATTGGAAGAGCCGCTGGAGCCGCCTGGGGGGGAAGAGAGAGGCAGTCGGGATGGGGCGGTGCTGGTGCCATGGCTGAGCCCCACAGTGGGGCTGGAGGATATGGAGGCCGTACCAGAGCACGAGATGAAGCGGGCAGTGTTGGGGGGTCAGGAGCCGTACCAGGGCTGGGGCAGGGAGTTGGGGCCATACCCAAGCTGCAGACGGAGCTGATGGTTCTGGTTGGGACACTCTACGCCCCGGAGCGCACCCTGCGACCCCCATAGTCAACGTTTGTCTATAATCGTGATATTGCATATAAAGCATGCTTTGTGAGGCATCATGGGACAGGTTCTGATTTGCTGAAACCCCACTCTTCTATCATTAATGCCAATGAAGTTCTGAGAATTGTGTTGTAGGATTCTCACTCAAATATGCTGTGAGTTTGGGAAGCTCCCAAGCTCCCCAGAGACAATAGCTGGGGCATAACCAACACCCAGGTTATGTCACACAACCATTAACAGCCACTGTCCAGCAAGGGAGCTAGGATGCAATGACTCACCTGCATGTGGCCACACCAGGGGAATTGCTCAGCCTTGCCTGGTGACTCAGCAATGCCCCCCAGGCATGCCTGGACTTGTGTGCTCCAAGCACATGGGACTGAGGCTATAAAACAGAACCCAGGGGCCCCACGCTGGGCCTTTCTCCTGCCCCCCCCCCCCCCCTTACACTGCAAGCAACAAGGATGCTCAGAAGAATGAAGACTCCAGCAGAGGAGACTGGCCCAGGTTTCAAGGGTGAAACCTGTGTATTATGAACTAACATCCAGTGGGTTGAGAAAACTGCTTGATCTAAATACTGCCTAGTGTCTTATAGGTTTAAGATTAGATTGTGTGCTTATTTTGTTCTCTTGGTAACTAACTCTGACTTTTTGCCTCTCACTTATCACTTAAAATCTCTCTTCTGTAGTCAATAAACTTGTTTTACTGTTTATCTTTCCCACTGAGTTTGCCTGAAGCGTTTGGTGAATCTGCTCAGGTGTGCAAAGGCTGGTGTATAGCCACTTTCCCCTGATGAAGTGGTGAACCAATTAATAAATTTGCACTGCTCGTCTTGAGCAGTGCAGGACGGTATATTCCTGAGGTACAAGACTGGGAGCTGGGGGGATTTGGCGGGTGCCTTTCTCTGTGTGATTCATGAGAGGCTCTGGGAGCATTCAGGCAAGCTAGCTGGGTGGGGGGGCTCCACGTGCTGTTGTACTGAGTGATCACAGCGCCTGGAGGGGTTTGCTGCTTGTCACTAGCAAAGCATTGTGAGAGACAGCCCAGGCTCGAGAGAGTTAAGGGGGCACAGCGGTCCCACAGTCCAGTCTGCACCCCGGGAATCCTGTCACACTGGTGCTGGGGGAACACAGGACAGACATAGGGGCTGCACGCAAGCTGGAGACGGAGCTGGTGCTGGGGACTCGGGGGCCGGGACGGGGGAGCGGGGCCGTACCCGAGCTGGAGACGGAGCTGGTGGTACTGGTGCTGTGGCTGTGCTCCATGGCCGGGCTGGTGGAGTTGCTATTGCTGGTGTTGGTGCCCTCATCGCTGGTCTTCTTGAAGAAGTTGTGCTGCAGGGCGTAGAAGGGCGTGATGCGGCTGCGCGGCTCGTAGTCCAGCATGCGCAGCACCAGGTCCTTGAACTTCAGGTAGTCGGAGGGCGAGTGGCCTTGCTCGCCCGCCCGGCGCCCCCCCGGGTCCCCCGCTCTCCACCCCCAGCACCTCGTGGAGCCGCCGTGTGCCCGGCACCTTGTATTCCTGCAAGGGAAACATGTTCAGCAGGGCGTCCCGGCCGGGATCATGGTGGGGGAAGAGAGGCAGGGGTCCTGCGAGGCAGGGGGAGAGGAGAGATGCAGGGATCCAGCCAGGGTGGAGATGTAGGTATCCTGGCAAGTGGCGGGAGGCACCGGGATCCCGACAGGGTGGGGAGGACTACAGGAGGTACAGTGTGGGGGTGGCGGGGGGGAGGGACAGACGGCAGGGTAGGGCAGGGATCGGAGGGGCACGCAGAAGATGTGGGGATCCCAGCAGGGCAGTGGGGAGCACAGAAGACACAAGTGGGGTGGGGGAGTGGGGAATGACATGGGGATCCTGGCAGGGCAGGGAGGGGTCGAGGGGATCCCAGCAGACCAGGGATGGGGTGGGGGGCAGGCATAGCATGCAGGAGACGCAGGGATCCCGGCAGGGCGGGGATAAGGTGGGGAGTGGGACAGGCAGTGAGGGGCAGCAGTGGGGACATGGGAATCTCAGCAGTCGGGGGGCAACGTCGTGGCCCCGTCAGCGCAGGGAAAGTGGGGGAAATGCAGATGGAGGGCAATGCACAGGTAGCTGGTGCCACGGGGGGAGCGGGGTTCCTGGCAGCAGGTGCTAGGGAGCAGTGCAGGATATAGGGTGGCTCCCTGGGGTGGGGGCAGCATGGGAGGCACAGGGATCCCAGCAGCATGGGGGAGGGCTTGGCATCGGGGCCAGCATGGCGGGAAGAGGTGCATGGGGAGAACAGGGATCCTGTGGGGGAGACCGAGGACGGGGAATCAGAAGCGTGGGGTGAGGACCCCAAGGACCCCCATTACCTTTTTGACCTCCTTGTTCTTCTTGAGGGCCCAGCCCCCCTCGGGCAGCTTGTCGAAATATTTCCGGGCCTTCGGCGCCTGCTCCAGCATGTGTGGGGGCGGCAGCCCCAGCACCTCCACAATCCTGTTCATCTGGTCTGCCTGCAGGGAGGAAGGGACGCGTCATGGGGCGCCCTTGCCAGCCTTGCCCCCACCCAGCCCCACTCCCTCCCGTTATTGGGGCAGCCGCGCCCAGCCTCTCACCCCAGAAAGGGGTGACATCCTGATTGCCACCAGTCGGGAATTTTCCACTCAGAGGATTTCTCTGTGGAAACACTGTTCCTTCAAAAACTGAAAATTTCCCCGGGAGCAAAAGTTTGCATTTTGCCAAAACGTTTCCCTTTTCTGAGCTCCCTGGCTAGAATACATGTCCCATGATGCTCCTCTCTGATGAAGGTTTGAGGAGCATCATGGGAGTCACATTATAGTGGTGCATCCTGGGAGATGTAGTCCAATCAGGGAGGTTGGCCCAAGACACCCAAACAAAAGCCCCCATGATGCACCATGGGCCTCCCCTCGCCTCCGATAGGACCTTTTTCCCCCCTCCCACCCAGAGAAGGGTTGTGGCCTTGGTCTCTGCCCAAGGGCACAGCCCCAGCGGCAATTCCCCCTCCCATCCCTCACCTCATTGGAGCCGCTGAAGAGAGGCTCCCCCGTGTGCATCTCCACCAGGATGCAGCCCAGAGACCACATGTCGATGGCCAGGTCATAGGGCATGCCCAGCAGCACCTCTGGCGAGCGGTAGAAGCGGCTCTGGATGTACTGGTAGATCTGGGGAGATGAGGGTCAGCGTGATGAGCCCCTGACGGGAGCAGGGAGGAAGCCCGCATGGGGGCACAGACTGGCCAGGCCCACAGGCTTTGCTGGGAAACACATCCCAGAGCAGGGATAGAACCCAGGAGTCCTGGCTCCCAGCCCCTCTCTGCTCTAACTAGACCCTCCTCTGCTCCCTGAGCTGAGGGAAAACCCACGTCCTGGCTCCCAGCCTCCCCTGCTGTAACCACTAAAGCAGGGCAGCACAGATCTGGCAGTGGGGATGAGGTAGAGGTGGGACAGTCTGTCTCTCAGTCTGTCCCCCCAGAGTGGGGCTAGGGGACGGGTGAGGCAGGGCTAAGGACACTCCCTGCTAGCAGAAGCTGCTGAAGTCGACAAACTTGAGAGTGCTGCACTTGCAGGGGACAAGTGCAGGGGTGGGGCCATGGCACAGGGCTATCACATTCACCCACTGGCCCAGCTAGCAGGAGCTACCAAAGTCAACGATCTTGACGGCACTGTGCTTGGGGTTGCAGAGCAGGGAGAGGGGCTACAGGCAAGGCCGTTACATAGGGCGTGGGGCAGGAATGGGGCTCAGGGGTTGAGGCTGCAGCTCAGGGGGTGGGACCCACGCACTCACCCACTGGCAGGAGTGACTGAAGCCGACGATGTTGGGGCTGCGCTTGGGACTGCAGAGCAGGGCATGCGGCGGGGGCGGGGCTGTTGCATAGGGGCGGGGCTATGGAACAGGGGGCGGGGCTTGGGGGCAGGGCCAGCGCACTCACCCGCTGGCCCAGCTGGCAGGAGCTGCCGAAGTCGACGATCTTGATGGCGCTGCGCTTGGGGTTGCAGAGCAGGATGTTCTCGGGCTTGAGGTCGCAGTGGATGATGCTGAGCTCGGGGGTGGCCAGGAAGAGCAGCGCCGTGCACAGCTGCTGAGCGAACTTGCGGGTGAGGTTGAGCGAGACGCCGCGGAAGTTGGTGTTACGCAGAAGGTCGTACAGGTTGTAGGAGAGCAGCTCGAACACCAGGCACAGGTGGCTCCGGAACATGAAGTGGCGCTTCAGGTGCACTGGGTGGGGAAGGGAGTGTGAAGGACAGCCGGGGGGAGGGGGGGGGGAGGGGGGTGCTTCCCCTCCACCGCAACCCCCTGACCCCACACTGAGCTCCCTCCGCACGGCACGGCGAGAAGAGGAGCAGTCCTCAGTATAACCTCCCCAGCCCTCCCAACATTTACCCCGGCCCCTGCAACATCCCCCCACTCCTCAATATACATCCCAGCCCCCCGATACCGGACCTCCCCCCCAACTCCTCAACGTACAACCTGGCCCCCACAACGTCCCCGCCCTCCCCATTGTTCCCCCAGCCCCCCACCTCCCTCCCCACTCACCAATGTAATACTTCATCTCGGTGTCATGCTGGTTCATGAGTTCCAGCAGCCGCAGCTCGATCTGGGCCTGGTTCAGAAATGCCTTCTTGTTCTTGATGATCTTAATGGCCACCCACTCCTGGTCGTGGTGGTCGTACGCCTTCACCACCTGGGGGGGACAGAGCGCTGTCGGGGGCACGGCCTGACTCAGGGTGGGGGTGGGGGAGGGGCCATACCAGGGCTCGGGGTGGATGTGACAGGTGCAGGTAGCTCTCAGCTGTGTGAAGGAGGCCTTGATGAGCAATGAGTTTATTTCATATCAGGGAGTTAGGAAGGGGGAGAAGAGGGTATGGCGGGGACTGGGGGTTTCGGGGTACAGTGGAGATTCAGGGGGGGCCAAGGGCTAAGCTGGCCAAAAGAGCCCTTGCCAATGAGTGAGTTGATCTTGTAGTGGGGGGCTAGGGATGTGGGGGTAGTCTGAGGGTCTGGCGGGGTTTTGGGGGTACGGCAGGGTTTGGGAGCTTAGCGGGTCGAAGGAGCCCTTGCCGATAAGCGAGTTGATCTTGTAGCGGGGGGTTAGGGACATGGGGGCAGTGTGGGGGTGCGGCAGGGTTTTGGGGGTACGGCAGGGTTTGGGAGCTTAGCGGGTCGAAGGAGCCCTTGCCGATAAGCGAGTTGATCTTGTAGCGGGGGTTAGGGACATGGGGGCAGTGTGGGGGTACGGCAGGGTTTTGGGGGTACGGCGGGGTTTGGGGGGCTGACCTGGCCGAAGGAGCCCTTGCCGATGAGCGAGTCGATCTCATAGCGGGGGTTAGGGACATGGGGGCAGTGTGGGGGTACGGCGGGGGTTTGGGGGGCTGACCTGGCCGAAGGAGCCCTTGCCGATGAGCGAGTCGATCTCGTAGCGGGGGTTAGGGACATGGGGGCAGTGTGGGGGTACGGCAGGGTTTTGGGGGGTACGGCAGGGTTTTGGGGGTACGGCAGGGTTTTGGGGGTACGGCAGGGTTTTGGGGGCTGACCTGGCCGAAGGAGCCCTTGCCGATGAGCGAGTCGATCTCGTAGCGGGGGGTTAGGGACATGGGGGCAGTGTGGGGGTACGGCGGGGTTTGGGGGGCTGACCTGGCCGAAGGAGCCCTTGCCGATGAGCGAGTCGATCTCGTAGCGGGGGGTTAGGGACATGGGGGCAGTGTGGGGGTACGGCAGGGTTTTGGGGGTACGGCAGGGTTTTGGGGGTACGGCGGGGTTTGGGGGGCTGACCTGGCCGAAGGAGCCCTTGCCGATGAGCGAGTCGATCTCGTAGCGGGGGGTTAGGGACATGGGGGCAGTGTGGGGGTGCGGCAGGGTTTTGGGGGTACGGCGGGGTTTGGGGGGCTGACCTGGCCGAAGGAGCCCTTGCCGATGAGCGAGTCGATCTCGTAGCGGGGGGTTAGGGACATGGGGGCAGTGTGGGGGTGCGGCAGGGTTTTGGGGGTACGGCGGGGTTTGGGGGGCTGACCTGGCCGAAGGAGCCCTTGCCGATGAGCGAGTCGATCTCGTAGCGCTCCAGCCAGCGCTCCCCGCTCTTGACGATGTAATCGTAGTTGTCATCGTCGTAGCCTTCGTTGTACACCTTGCGCTCCTTCTTGGTGCTCGAGTCCTCAGGGGGCACCTGCTGCGCCCGCCGCTTCTTCTTGGCATAGTACACCTGGGGGGGGGGGGAAGAGTCAGCACCAGCCTTCTGGCACAGGGGAAGCCTGCCCACGCCAACCCCCAGGGAACCAGCATCCCAGGCCAGGGGCCCCCCTCCAGGGAGCTGACTTCCCATGCTTTGCCCGTTCCCAGTGCTCTAGGCCAGCCCATAATCTGCGCGGCATCACGGTGCACTCGGGGAAGGGCGGCCGTGCTGCCCCGAAGCTAGACCCCTCGTTGATGCCAACGCCCCCCCGCCCCCAGAAGCTCACCTCGTTGATGTGCTTGTATGTTTTGATGAGGTCGACGGAGAGCTTGCGCAGCGGTGCCGTGGCCGATTCGCGGAAGGTCAGGGGGATTCGCCGCTGCAGGACGCTCAGCTCTGGCAGGGTCTGCAGAGACACGGATGGGCGGTCATGGCGAGGGATGGGTGCCCCCAGGCACACCCCCTGCCCTCCCTCACCTGTAGCTACCCCACTTGGAACGGTGCCCTCACATGACACCGGCCAGGCTGTGCCGGGTCAGCAGGTACCCTGCGTCCAGCCCTAAGCCCCTCTGCCGGACGTATCCCCACTGAGGCCAGGAGGATCTCCAGCCCCTTCCAGGGCTCCTCGGCTGTTTGTCCGTCCTGTGGAAAGGGCCAGCCCATGCCCTGTGCATCTAGAATCCCTGCTGCCAGAGCTGGCTCCTTGCACAGCCTCCTGATCCCGTCTAGGTGCCCAGGCGGGAGGAGGCGGGGAGAGCCGGTACCTGCGGGTGGTCAGCCATGGACTGGATGCTGGAGAAGGGGGCATGACCGTGCTGGCTCGACATGTTTGGCTCAGTGGCAAGCGAGACGCCCAGAGAGGCAGGCTGGCTGGCGGGCAGCAGCTGGCATCCTGCGCTGCTGCTGCTGCTGCCACCTGAGGGGCAGAGAGAGAGGGAGACTGGGTCAGTGCGAGTCCTCGGCCTGCCCGCCCCCCCGGATCCTCCTGCACCTGCCCCTCCCGCTGGGTGGTGCGGTCCCCAACTCAGTATCACCCGCCCATACACAGCCCAGCAGCCCCCCCACACACACCCAGCTCCCAGCTTTGATGCCGCTCCACGCCCCCCACCCGCTCAACTGACGGCCACGTGCAAAGTAGCTGCAAATCAGCTCGCGCACATGTGGTGCCAAAGGCCACCGCGGGGCTATGCCCCACCAGGAGCCACTTAGCCTGAAGCAACAGCGCGCCCTAGTTTGGGGGTGCCGGGACTGGGAGTTGCAGAGACCTAGTCCCAGCCAGGCCGGTTCGGGGGCTGCAAAAACTGAAAAAAACTAAAATGAATTCGGTTCCGTTCCAAGCCAAACCGAAGCTGTGTCGAGTTTTCTCGCCAAACGAAACAAATTCGCTTGGAAGGAAATGTTTTGGTCAACCCCAAACAAAGTTCATCTGGACTTTTGTTCATTTTAGGGTGTTTTCCCATCTTGGTTTTGTTTTTTAAAAATAAGCTAAATTGCTCAAAGGAACCAGAGTCAAAACCCTGAGGGCCAGCAGGGCCCCAGGGCTCTCCCACCCAACCAGCCACCCACCAGAATAATTAAGGCCCCTGGGCAGAGAGAGGGCTGGGGCATGCAGCCTGCACACTATCCTCATGCCTGCTGAGGCAATCATGGGCCAGGATCCTGCACGCCTGGACTGGGGCCTCACGACCCGCTGACCACTACCCAAGGAGCTGGCAACTGGGATCGGGGCCCTGCAACCAGCCTGGGCGCTGACTGAGGAGCTCATGCCCTGGGATCGGGGCCCTGCAACCTGCCCGGGCACCAGCTGAGGAGCTCATGCCCTGGGATCAGGGCCCTGCGACTCACCTGGACGCCAACCAAGGAACTCACGTGCAGGGATTGGTGCCCTGTGACCTGCCTGGGCATCAACCGAGGAGCTCATACCCAGGAATCAGGGCCCTGCAACCCGCCCTGGCACCAGCTCAAGGGCTCACTTCCAGGGATCGGGGCTCTGTAACCCATCTGGGCACCAGCCAAGGAGCTCACGCCCGGGGATCGGAGCCCTGCATCCTGCACTGCCCCAGCGCCAGCTGAGGAGCTTGTGTGCCAGGACTGGGGAGGAGGCCTGCGACTCGTTCCAGCACTTGGCTGAGTGCCATCGGTGAGCCAGCTGGGAGGCTGGGTGGGGTCCCAAGCAGCACAGCTGCCGGGATTATTTTTAACCCCCAGGGAGCAAGGCAATCCTTGCAGCTGATTGGGGCGGTGGGGAGGAAGTAGAGCCAATTGCTATGGAAAGATGGAGCCCCCAGCTCTGGGATCCTCCCATACACAGTACAGGGGCAGGGTGCCAGGGCCCCCGGCTCCGGGATCTCCATACACAGCGCAGGGGCAGGGTGCCAGGGCATGTCTGGGCCACCGGCTCTGGGATCCCCCAACACAAAGGACAGACAGGGCCAGTCCCAGCCCAACCCTGGTCCACTAGGGGGGTGATGGGCTACCTATGACACTCCTACAACATCCGCTTCAAGCCCCTTCCTCCCTGCCAGCCTCTACACCCCAAGATATGCCCTGAGGCCACCGTGTGGGTCGGTCAACAGAGACCTGGGCCCCCTACCCCAGACAAATCTGGACCCAACCCCAGCTCCATAGCCCAGCAACAGCACCTCCTCTCCCCATCTGACCCGCAGCCCAAAAAAGCCATAGGAATATAGAAGCAGCCAGTGTTGATCAGCCCCAAGATCCATCTACTACTCCTGGGGAAATTCTGCACCACTGTTCATGTGCAGAATTCATGACCCTCTGCAGATTTCTTTGCTTCCCCGCAGAAAAATGACTTTCTGACAGGGAAGTAAAGGGAAGCCCCAAGAGCAGCATGCGACCCTCCCCAGCTGTATGTTTTGCGTGCCCAAGGCAGCTGGCAGAGGTAAATCACTGTGGGGCAGGACTGGGGAAGACCCAGCTGGTAGCTCCTACCCTGTGCCGGGCTCAGCTCCTAGTTCCGGCTGGGCTTGGGAGGACGAGACTTCCTCTTCCCCTGCACAACATCCGGGACCAGGTCAGACCCACCCCCAGATTTCTCTCCAGGCTGCAGGAAGCTCTGCAAACTCCTCACCCATCGCTCCTCAGCTGCAGGGGGAGGGATCACTGTACGGGGAACTGCTCCCACATCTTCCCAATCCCCATGCACCCAGACCCCCTCATACTCAGTCCCTCCGCCGAGCCTCACCACACACCTCCACGGCCAGAATACCACTGCCGAGTGCCACTCCCCCTTCACCTGGACCATCCCAAAGAGCCACCCACACCTGGATCCCCACTCTACCAAGCCCCAGCCAGCTGCACCTGGATCCTCACCTCACTGAGCCCTACTCCCCCAGCATCTGGACCCCCAACACCCAAGGCCCCCACCGAGCTCTATCACACCCAGACCCTGCCCTGCTCAGCCCCAACCACCTTTACCTCCTGCAGAGTTCCATTACCATTGCACCCAGAACCCCCCAACAAGCCCCTGTGCATCCAGAGCGCCTCCCACACCCAGACTGCCCCACACAGAACCCTCTCAACCCACATCTGAATCCCCCCCACACTTGGATCCTGCTGGGCTGAGCATGCCTGCCCACACCTGGTGCACCTGGCACAGAGGAACATGGCTCTGGGGTGTTTCTGGGGCAGGCTCGGTCCTTGTGCTGTGTCAGGCTTGGGTGCAGCCTCACTGCTGAGCCATGTCCTGGGGAGTAGCTGCAGAGTGATCTCCTACCTCTGTGCAGCCAGTGGTCTGTACTCCCCAGTGCCATGCTGGAGCCTCCACAGTTATTTGACAAATACAATTTGCAGAATTTTAAAATACTGTGCGCAGAATTTTTATGTTTTTGGTGCAGAATGCCCTTAGGAGTAACCTACCCTGGTATCCCATCTTTGATAGCACCAGATTGTTCAGAGGAAGGTGGAAGACGCCCTGCAGCAGCAGATGGGGATAACCTGTGCCCATAATAGCTCTCACCCTAGTCTCAGAGAGCTTGGCTGAAGCTACAAAGCAGCTGATTTCAGATCCCTGCCCCACTTTGGTACCACTATGTTCTCCAGCCATTCCTATTAGCCCTAGAAATGCCCATTCCCTCTTTGTATCTTGCTGAGCTCTTGGACTTATCATAAGAACATAAGAGCAGCCATACTGAGTCATACCAAAGGTCCATTTAGCCCAGTACCCTGTCTTCCAACAGTGGCCAATGCCAGGTGCCCCAGAGGGAATCAACAGAACAGGTAATCAAGTAATCTATCCCCTGGCGTCCAATCCCAGGTTCTGGCAAACAGAGGCTAGGGTCACCATCCCTGCCCATTCTGGCTAATAGCCATTAATGGACCTATCTTCCAGGAACTTACCTAGTTCTTTTTTTAACCCAATTATAGTTTTGGCCTTCACAACATCCCCACTCCTGGCAACAAGTTCCACAGGTTGACTGTGTTGTGTGAACAAATACTTCCTTATGTTTGTTTTAATGTTGCAATTGTTAAAATGCTGCCTATTAATTTCATCGGGTAATCCTGGGTTCTTGTGTTATGAGAACGAGTAAATAACACTTCCTTATTTACTTTCTCCACACCAGTCATGCTTTGTAGAGCTCGATCAGATCCCCCCTTAGTTGTCCCTTTATCACCATCCAGTGGCAGGCAATTCCACAGGCCAATCAAGCAGCTGATGACAAAGTCTTTCCTCAGATGGGTTTTCGGTTTCCCCATCTTTCAGTTTCATCACACGCCCCCTAGTCTTTGAGCTGCGAGGCTGGGAGAACAGACACTCCCAATACCCCTTCTCAATTCCACCGATCACTTTACAGATCTCTACAGTAACAATCCCCGTCTCTCTCCAGTTTTTCCAGGTTCTAGATCGTTCTCATCCCCTTTCTCTGACACCTCCCCGTCCCCAGTTCTGCAGTATCCTTTCAGAGCTGGGGTGCCCAGTAATGCACACACTATTTCCAGCGGAGGCTGCACCATTGCTCTACAAAGAGGGGGCAGAGATGTAAGTCTCCCTCATTAAACATTCCCCAGCTCAGCCCTTATGTGCCCAGACGTGACGGGGGCTTTTCTAGCTGTGGTTGTGCCCTAGGCAGAACTCTCCTCCCAGCTGCTCACAATGAGTGCTCGCGGGTCATTTCCACACCTGTCCGGTGTCCAAGCAGTTTCAGTTTTTCCCTTTTGGACACATCACTTTGCATTCAGCAAACTTGAATTCTGTCTGCCACCGAGTTACCCTTTCACCCAGCTCCCTCTGGAGCTCCTCGCACCCCTCCCTGGCCCTATCTCAGCCCCATAACTGAGTCATCCGACCATTTCGTCACTTGGGTGCTCACCCCCACATCCAGATCGTTCAGAGAGAAGTTCACGATACGGGACTAGTGTGCAACCTCGAGGCACCCGCTGGCCACCTTTTCACAGAGCACTCACTCTCCCATCCCTTCCACACAAACCCTGGCCCCCGTGTACATCACGCAAGGATGAGGCAGGCACCAGCGATCCCCCACCGCCCAGTGCCGGAGCCCACCTGTGGATGGCTGCCTGTGGCAGCGGGAAGATGGCAGGTAACACTCGGGCTCCCTCCTGCCCCAGTCTGTCTGCAGTGCCAGTAGCATGGCGGGAGGCGGCGGCACCTCAATGCTGGAGGGTATCACCATGGGGGAAAGTGTCCAGTTGCCCCTGGCGTGGGCAGCTGCTCCCGGCACAGAGCCTGCGAAGCTGGGGGAGCGAATGGAGGGTGCTAGCCCCGGCTCCCTGTCCCTCCCGGGGCAGCTGTCCTTGCAGTGCGCAGGCGAGACAGGAGGTCGGGGAAGGACGGCGGGGAAGGGGGGCTGGGATCAAGGCAGCTGTTTGAACAAAATGGCAAAGAGGAAACTGACAAGATGAACAGCTGAGCGACAGCCCCAAAGTAAGCTGGACAGG